GTTTAGTGCTTCATGTCTGTCTCCTTTTTTAAAGATTGGGACTACATTTGCTGTCTTCCATGCCTCAGGCAATCTCCCTGTTTTGATAGATGTATTGAATATTGTTGTTAGGGGTACACATAGCGCCTCTCCTCCCTCTCTCAGGACCCATGGAGAGGTGTTATCTGGCCCCATTGCCTTTGAGGTATCTAGCTCACTCAGAAGCCTCTTCACTTCTTCCTCGATTGTGTGTACTGTGTCCAGCACTTGGTGGTGTGCCCCACCTATCCGTCTTTCTGGAGCCCCTTCTGTCTCCTCTGTGAACACTTCTTTGCATCTCTTGTTGAGTTTCTCACATACTTCACGGTCATTTCTTGTTGTCTCTTCTCCTTCCTTCCTTAGCCTGATTACCTGGTCCTTGACTGTTTTTTCCTCCTGATGTGGCTGTATAACAGCTTTGGGTCAGATTTGGCTTTTGCTGCTATGTCGTTTTCATGTTGTCGTTGGGCCTCCCTTCTTATCTGTGCATATTCATTTCTGGCTCTGTGACTGCTCTCCTTATTCTCCTGGGTCCTTTGCCTTCTATATTTCTTCCATTCCCTACCACATTTGGTTTTTGCCTCCCTGCACCTTTGGGTGAACCATGGGCTCATCCTGACTTTTTTGTTATTCCTGTTACCCTTGGGTACAAACCTCTCCTCAGCCTCCTTGCACATTGTTGTTACATATTCCATCATCTCATTAACTGGCTTCCCTGCCAGTTCTCTGTCCCATTGAACCCTGTTCAGGAAGTTCCTCATTTCCGTGTAGTCCCCTTTCTTGTAGTTTGGCTTCATTCGTCCTGGTCTTCCTGCTTCCCCCTCCACTTGTAGCTCTACTGTGTATTCGAAGCTTAAAACCAAATGATCGTTGGCCCCAAGGGGTCTTTCATAGGTTATGTCCTCAATATCTGCACTATTCAAGGTGAATACTAGGCCCAGTCTTGCTGGTTCATCTTCTCCTCTCTCTCTTGTAGTGTCCCTTACATGTTGGTACATGAAGTTTTCCAGTACCACCTCCATCATCTTAGCCCTCCATGTATCTTGGCCCCCATGTGGCTGCAAGTTCTCCCAATCAATCTCCTTGTGGTTAAAGTCACCCATGATTAGGAGCTTTGCCCTGCCTGCATGAGCTCTTCTGGCCACTGCAGCCAGTGTGTCAACCATCGCTCTATTGCTCTTGTTATACTCTTGCCTTGGCCTCCTGCTGTTCTGTGTTGGGTTATACATCACTGCAATTACCACCTTGGGACCTCCAGAGTGAAGCGTTCCCGCTAAGTAATCGCTTGTTTCTCCGCTGTCTCCTCTCTCCAGCTCATCAAAATTCCATCCGTTTTTGATCAGCAGTGCCACTCCTCCACCCCCCAGGTCCCTCTGTCTTTCCTCAGAATCTGGTATCCTGTTGGAAAGATGGCATCTGTTATCATACATGTAAGCTTGGTTTCTGTGAGAGCTATGATGTCCGGTGATGCCTCTTTGACTCTTTCATGCCACTCCTCCCACTTATTTGTTATTCAATCAGCATTTGTGTACCATACCTTTAGTTTCCTTTCCAACACTGGTTTGGGGGGCCTGTGAGGGTGAGAGACCTGGTAGCATACTGTGGGATTCTATAGCTGGGTGTTGGGTGGAAGCTGTGAGTATGGATTGTAGTTTGTGTTGGGATGGTGTGATAGGTTGTGGGGTTCTGAGGATAGCTCTGTGTGTGCTTGCCCTTGCTGCTCTGTCCTGCTCTGATTGACCTCTGCTGGTTCCATCCTTGTCTCCTTTCTTAGCTCCTTTCGCCTTTTTGTCCTCTCCCTCAGCTGTGTGTGTGTGTGTATGTGTGTGTGTGTGTGTGTGTGTGTGTGTGTGTGTGTGTGTGTGTGTGTGTGTGTGTGTGTTGTGTTGTGTTGTGTGTGTGTTGTGTGTGTATTGTGTGTGTATTGTGTGTGTGTGTGTGTACTCACCTAGTTGAGGTTGCAGGGGTCGAATCCTAGCTCCTGGCTAGGTTGATGGTAAAGGTGATGGTTGATGGTGAAGGTGATGGTTGATGGTGAAGATGATGGTTGATGGTGAAGGTGATGGTTCATAGTGAAAGTAATGGTTCATAGTGAAGGTGATATTCATAGTGAAGGTGATGGTTGATAGTGAAGGTGATGGTTGATAGTGAAGGTGATGGTTGATAGTGAAGGTGATGTTCATAGTGAAGGTGATGTTCATAGTGAAGGTGATGGTTGATAGTGAAGGTGATGGTTGATAGTGAAGGTGATGGTTCATAGTGAAGGTAATGTTCACAGTGAAGGTGATGTTCATAGTGAAGGTGATGGTTCATAGTGAAGGTCATGTTCATAATGAAGGTGATGGTTCAGAGTAAAGGTGATGGTTCATAATGAAGGTGATGGTTCATAATGAAAGGTGATGGTTCATAATGAAGGTGATGGTTCATAATGAAGGTAATGGTTCATAGTGAAAGTGATGGTTGATAGTGAAGGTGATGGTTCATAATGAAGGTGATGGTTCATAATGAAGGTGATGGTTCATAATGAAGGTGATGGTTCATAATGAAGGTTATGGTTCATAATGAAGGTGATGTTCATAGTGAAGGTGATGTTCATAGTGAAGGTGATGGTTCATAATGAAGGTGATGGTTCATAGTGAAGGTGATGTTCATAGTGAAAGTGATGGTTCATAATGAAGGTGATGTTCATAGTGAAGGTGATGTTCATAGTGAAAGTGATGGTTCATAATGAAGGTGATGTTCATAGTGAAGGTGATGTTCATAGTGAAGGTGATGTTCATAGTGAAGGTGATGTTCATAGTGAAGGTGATGGTTTATAATGAAGGTGGTGGTTCATAGTGAAGGTGATGTTCATAGTGAAGGTGATGTTCATAGTGAAGGTGATGTTCATAGTGAAGGTGATGTTCATTGTGAAGGTGATGGTTCATAATGAAGGTGATGTTCATAATGAAGGTGATGTTCATAGTGAAGGTGATGTTCATAGTGAAGGTGATGTTCATAATGAAGGTGATGTTCATAGTGAAGGTGATGGTTCATAGTGAAGGTGATGTTCATAGTGAAGGTGATGTTCATAGTGAAGGTGATGTTCATAGTGAAGGTGATGTTCATAGTGAAGGTGATGGTTCATAATGAAGGTGATGTTCATAATGAAGGTGATGTTCATAGTGAAGGTGATGGTTCATAGTGAAGGTGATGTTCATAATGAAGGTGATGGTTCATAGTGAAGGTGATGTTCATAGTGAAGGTGATGGTTCATAATGAAGGTGATGTTCATTGTGTAGGTGATGTTCATAATGAAGGTGATGTTCATAATGAAGGTGATGTTCATAGTGAAGGTGATGGTTCATAGTGAAGGTGATGTTCATTGTGTAGGTGATGTTCATAGTGAAGGTGATGTTCATAGTGAAGGTGATGGTTCATAGTGAAAGCGATGGTTAATGGTGAAGGTGATGGTTCATAGTGAAGGTGATGTTCATTGTGTAGGTGATGTTCATTGTGAAAGGTGATGTTCATAGTGAAGGTGATGGTTCATAATGAAGGTGATGTTCATAGTGAAAGGGGATGGGTTAATGGTGAAGGTGATGGTTTCATAGTGAAGGTGATGGTTCATAGTGAAGGTGATGTTCATAGTGAAGGTGATGTTCATAGTGAAGGTGATGTTCATAGTGAAGGTGATGTTCATTGTGTAGGTGATGTTCATAGTGAAGGTGATGTTCATAATGAAGGTGATGTTCATAGTGAAAGTGATGGTTAATGGTGAAGGTGATGGTTTATAGTGAAGGTGATGTTCATAGTGAAGGTGATGTTCATAGTGAAGGTGATGTTCATAGTGAAGGTGATGGTTCATAGTGAAGGTGATGTTCATAGTGAAGGTGATGTTCATAGTGAAGGTGATGTTCATAGTGAAGGTGATGTTCATAGTGAAGGTGATGGTTCATAGTGAAGGTGATGGTTCATAGTGAAGGTGATGTTCATAGTGAAGGTGATGGTTCATAATGAAGGTGATGTTCATAATGAAGGTGATGCTCATAGTGAAGGTGATGGTTCATAGTGAAGGTGATGTTCATTGTGAAGGTGATGTTCAGTGAAGGTGATAGTTCATAGTGAAGGGATTTCTAGTGAAGGTGATGTTCATAGTGAAGGTGAGTTCATGAGTGATGTTATAGTGAAGGTGATGTCATAGTGAAGGTGATGTTCATAGTGAAGGTGATGGTTCATAGTGAAGGTGATGTTCATAGTGAAGGTGATGTTCATAGTGAAGGTGATGTTCATAGTGAAGATGATGGTTCATAGTGAAGGTGAAGTTCATATGAAGGTGATGTCATATGAAGTGATGTCCATGTGAATTATGTTCATAGTGAAGATGATGTTCATAGTGAAGGTGATGGTTTATAGTGAAGGTGATATCTTAAAGTTTACCCTGAACCTTTCATGTCTTACATTTTTTCTGATGTCTTACGTTTTCTCTCAGTTCTAAGCGGTAACTTAAGAAATATTAGTAAAATCTTAATTTTTTTTTATTCAGGTTCACATAAATACAATTACATAAATTATGATAAAAATCAAATTTGTTATCCTAAATGACTGACTTCCAGCGGGTCTTGAGATATTATTAACCCAGAAGAATTAATAAGCCAGTATATCCCAGGTAAGCCAGTGTGGCTTGTTTCTCTTGGTATACTTAAGTTCCCCCCAAGAGCCTTCATTATGTTTTATTTCTCTATTTCTTATTGTTTCTTCTTTTTCTTCTTATATGCCTTCTTCTATTTCTTTTTCATTTTCTTCTTTTTTCTTCTATTCTACTTTTTTCATTTTCTTCTTCTCAGGACGAGTCTCACTTCCTACTTCCTCTCGCCTCTTAATAAACCTGGTATTATTTTCTTCTTATATCACCTGGGCCCTCATCGTACCTACTCTGGAAGCTGTATAATGTATGTACCTGTCTATGGTCTCCTACACGTCCTGTCCTCCGTGTGTTGCAGGTCACGGCCCCAGGAGACGGACTGCTGGCCACTATAGAGGAGGACGCTGAGGAAGATTCCGGTAACGAGAGTTCCGGTCATTGGCTCTTTTCGGCCGACAACACCGATACTGATTCTGTCATTCATCTGCCAGCGGTGATTGACACCTGTCCACCTGTCCACCCTCTCCACCACACCTTACATGGTAAGTATTATTATTATTATTATTATTATTATTATTATTATTATTATTATTATCACAATTATTATATATTATTATTATCACAATTAATATTATTATTATCACAATTAATATTATTATCTATTATTATTATTATTATTATTAAATTATTATTATTATTATTATTATTATCAGAATTAAGCGATAAAATTATTAATAGCGTAGTGGCCAGGGTCATGTTGAGCTGTGATGTTTGTACACGTGTGGAAACGAAGCTATTGAGTGAGTGATGGTGATTGTGGTTTTCTTTCTTTGAGTCTACCTGAGTGGGAGACTGCTTATACCTGAAGGATACCTGAAGGATGTTGTGGGGGTCAACGCCCCCTGCGGCCCCGTTCCCGGACCAAGCCTGCTGATGAATTTAGGCCTCGTCAACTAGGCTGTTACTGTTGGCCGCTAAATCCGTAGGGGCCACAGAGCATCTGGGGAATGGGCGGGAATTCCGGTGTGGTTGGAGGGGAGGGCAGCTCCGTTTCCTTGGATCAAGAACCCTTGACCGGCAGGGTCTTACAAGATAAGTCACAAAGAAATACACAGATACACACCTCTCAGTGTATATACACAGAAATACACACTTCTCAGTGTATATACACTGAGAGACTCACACTTCTCAGTGTATATACACTGAGAGACCCACACTTCTCAGTGTATATACACTGAGAGACCCACACTTCTCAGTGTATATACACTGAGAGACCCACACTTCTCAGTGTATATACACTGAGAGACCCACACTTCTCAGTATATATACACTGAGAGCCACAATTCTCAGTGTATATACACTGTGAGACCCCCACTTCTCAGTGTATATACACTGAGAGCACCATGCTTATCAGTGTATATACACTGAGAGAACCACGCCTATCAGTGTATATACACTGATATTTCGTTAAACAGATGTTACCGTCAAAGTGGCTAGTTTATTACGCACCTGATATTCGTCCTGTGGAGGGCAGCGCAGAAAATATGGATACACACAAGACCTGGGAACTAGGCTCCGTAAAGGCTAACACGAGTACATCTGGATTTATATTGACAATAGTCTTATGGTACCAACTTGCGCGGTATCCGCATTCATATGCGTGCCTGATAGACACATGCACTCGCCCGATTCACGCATGCACTCCCCGATCCACGCATGCACTCGTCCGATTCACGCATGCACTCACCCGATCCACGCATGCACTCGTCCGATCCACGCATGCACTGGTCCGATCCACGCATGCACTCGTCCGATTCACGCATGCACTCACCCGATCCACGCATGCACTCGCCCGATCCACGCATGCACTCGTCCGATTCACGCATGCTCTCGTCCGATCCACGCATGCACTCGTCCGATCCACGCATGCACTCGTCCGATCCACGCATGCACTCGTCCGATCCACACATGCACTCGTCCGATTCACGCATGCACTCGTCCGATCCACGCATGCACTCGTCGATCCACGCATGCACTCGTCCGATCCACGCATGCACTCGTCCGATCCACGCATGCACTCGTCCGATCCACGCATGCACTCGTCCGATCCACGCATGCACTCGTCCGATCCACGCATGCACTCGTCCGATCCACGCATGCACTCGTCCGATCCACGCATGCACTCGCCCGATAAGCACACGCACTTGTTTACAGCTTGGCCTATGTAAGCGCTGATCCCCATGGGTTTAGCGCTCTGTGAATAGTAAATAATCAGGTTTGCTCCGAGGAAGGAGATAATAGCTCCAAATTCCTTGGATCAAGGGCCTTTCACCAGCATCAAGGTAACTCACTAAGGTCTAGCTCTTGACTATACAAGGGTCATTAAGGGTGACCTTAAAACAACTTACTTCAATACAGATGTATACATCCCAATGTATATACATCTCAATATATATACTTCTCAGTGTATATGCATGTAAGTGTATAATATATATATATATATATATATATATATATATATATATATATATATATATATAATATTATATAATATATATATATATACAGTATATATATATATATATATATATATATATATATATATAGATATATATTATATATATATATATATATATATATATATATTTTATATATATATATATATTATATATATATATATATTAGATTATACACATCTCATTGTATATACTGTGCATATGTCATTTAAGTGTATATGCATTTCAGGGTATATACATCTCACTGTACGACTATATACATTTCAGTGTATGGACATCTCAATTTATATATATATATCTCTGCCTCAATGGGATTTACATATTGACTGCAGCCAATGAGACCTCCTGAAGCTTGGCAGGTTCTCATTGGCTGATGGCTAGGTGTGCAGCCAATGAGACCTCCTGAAGCTTGGCAGGTTGTCATTGGCTGATGGCTAGGTGTGCAGCCAATGAGAGGTGAGGGTCGCTGGTAGATGGTAACTGGTTGTTTGAGATAGAGGGAACAGTTCACCCTTGTCAGGCTCCAGTAAGCCTTCACTCTGACCTAGCGTACTGTGTCCGTGTTGCACGTTACTGTGTCGTACTGTGTTGTGTTGCCCGTTACTGTGTCGTGTCGCACGTTACTGTGTCGTACTGTGTTGTGTTGCCCGTTACTGTGTCGTGTCGCACGTTACTGTGTCGTACCGTGTCGTGTCGCACGTTACTGTGTCGTATTGTGTCGTGTCGCACGTTACTGTGTCGTGTCGCACGTCCTGTGGTGTTACTGTGTCGTACTGTGTCGCGTCGCTTAACGAGGGAGATGATACGTACACCTGTACACAGCGAAGCTGGTGTACACACGCTCACAGGTGTACACACGCACACAGGTGTACACACGCACACAGGTGTACACACGCACACAGGTGTACACACCACCAAATTTAACGGTTAGTTTAAATAAGTTTGAGGGAAGATATAATGATTTTATTATTTTGGTTATAATTTTTATTTTTTATTTTCTACTCAATTTTTTATTAACGAGTTTTTATTTTTATTATTCCTTTATCATGGTGTGTGTGGGGGGGTTGTGTGTGGTTGTGTGTGTGGGGGGGTTTTGTGTGGGGGGTTGTGTGTGGTTGTGTGTGGGGGGGGGTTTTTTGGTGGGGGGGGTTTTGTGTGGTTGTGTGTGGGGTGGGGGGGGTTGTGTGTGTGGGTGGGGGGTTGTGTGTGTGGGTGGGGGTTGTGTGTGTGGGGGGGGGTTGTGTGTGGGGGGGTTGTGTGTGTGGGGTGGGGGGTTGTGTGTGTGGGGTGGGGGGTTGTGTGTGTGGGGGGGGGATTGTGTGTGGTTGTGTGTGGGGGGGTTGTGTGTCGTGTTTGTGTGTCGTGTTTGTCATGGTTGAACTTGTCGTTTCCCCCATGAAGTTCCAGGGTGGGAACTTTTAATAACATCCCTCACCCCATCTGTTAGCAGAGTGACATCAGCTCCGTTAAATCTTAGATATCTCTGTGTAAACGTACACACCCTTCAATAAGTCTACCATACCATAACTAGGAAGTAGAAACACACACTAAATGCTCAGAGTTGTTACTGGCCACGACGCCATCTATGGTGCTAATGTCAGAATGATGTACATAACCTATTTTAGATCCCTAATTGATTATGCTGCTCCCCTATTGATATTAAGTAGAGAAAATTATCTAGGCCTTGTGTCAGTAATATGATTATTGATATTATCACTGTGGTTAGTATAAGAATGTTAAGAAATGACCAAGACTATATCTCCTACTGAAGGTCTAGAAGTAAATATTCATAGATCTAAATGGGTTGTGAAAACTTGCAATTACGTCATGTTCTATAACTTGCACCAACTGTGTCACTGTAGATAACATAGCATTTCACCTCTCCCTAGATGATGTGTTCATTTAATATCACATGCCTGCAAGTCCCTCCCAAGGAGCTTATTGCTAGTAATTTCTCCGTCAACTACTCAAGAAATTTCTGACTTAACTGTTAGTAATAATATATCACAAATGTCCCGTCAGGACATTTATTACAAGAAATGTTTTCTGACGACTGGCTTTTTCACTTCTTAATGTTTTCATAAATATCCTGAACTAAGTTTATTTAGGCAGAGGTACACACAGGTACAATTATAATACATAGTGTAAATTAACCGGGATAACCCAAAAAAAAGTCAGTGACTTGTTTACACTAGATATCCCTTAACATTCAAACTGTGCGACTGTCTCAGGCTGGTCTATTCCTGACACTGTCCTGAGAGACTGGCGGGACGTCTGACGACTGTATTAACTGTGTTTAATTCTAGTTTCCCCTTCACAGAGGGCGAGAGCAGCGGCAGCGAGGAGACTTTAGTAGTGGAGGACGAGCAGGAGAACGCTGGCCAGGGGGTGGGGAGTAGCCAGCAACAGGAAGTGGGGGTGGTGAAGAAGAGTCACGCTCTCACCACTACCGCACCCACTACCACTACCGCACTTACTACCACTACCGCACCCACTACCGCGGCCACCGACACTCATTACGACCCGTCTGCTGTCTGTGAGAGGGACCAGGGAGGAGCAGCGGGGACGGGCAGTGTTGTGAGTACGTCGGACCGGAGACGACGCTTGCACGAAGGCAGGGCTGGTGTGCCGCCCACTGGTCGCCGCCCACTGCCCACCATGCTGGGTCGCGCCCACGTCGCCGCTACACTGTACGAACAGCAACTGGATGATGTGTTCGACTTTGAAAGTCTTGAGAGCTGTGAGAGTGTGTCTGGAGGCAGTGAAGCTTCGTTCTCCGCCCACGACAACACCAGCCTGAACGACACTCATCTCGTTTTCACCACCTCCGCCACTTCCCAACCCTTCGACGACGCCGCCAGTGGCTACATTGAAGACGACAACAGTGACTCCCGTCATCTGACGGTGCAAGAGGAGGCATGGAGTACCCCCTCACGACCACCACACAGCCACGACGAAACGACCAGTGCCCCGCCGCATCTCAACACGACTTTCGTGGTGGACGGCAGCCAGCATACTATACTGGAGAGGTCGCTTGAGGGCGTCCTTCCCGGCCTTGCGTCCACTCTAAGTGGTTTAAACGGTGATGAGAAGAGGACAGAGGGGCGCCCAAGTGCTGTCGTCAATATTCAACACGTCCAGTCCTCCACTGGACACGGTAAAATGTGTGAGAGCAATAAAAGTGAAGGTGTGTGTGATGACCTGCAACTGTGTCAGACCAAGAGTGGACCAGAGAGAGTAGACCTGTTTGGTCTGCCTGTGCGGTGGACGCCCACAGGGGCCGCCCACCACCCTCTGCCCGGCGCCCCCCAAGATGCCGCTTACAGGACCGTTTTGACGCACGAGGAACACATGTCAGCGCCCCTCTCGAGTGACAGACGTCCCTCGGATACTGGCATTTCTCCTGGCCTGGCGTCCTCCAGCGACGTCACTGCGGGTGAGAGTGGGGGAGAAACCGGGGTGGAGGTAGCGAGGGAGGTCTCCCCCACCTTCACTACACACACAGGTAGTGGTGAAACCTCCAGTGAAGCCTGTCATTATCAGCCTCCACCACCAGGTAACCTACTTCACCACCTCAGTGTACCTCCACAGGTGTTACGGGACGCAGGTGTGGTGGCACCCGCTGGCACTGGCCCCCAGCATGACCCAGTGGGCACTATGAGGGATGCCACGCCCTCCAGCATCGACTTGATCACTGAGCGCACACAGCCGCCCAGGGCGTCGCACCCCACCCAACAGCCTGTTGATCCACCCACTACACACCATGCCCACCCACCCGACGCCAACTCTGACCTGCCCTCGGGGGACAGTGACACCGACACGGACAACACAGATGGGGATTACGATGAGGAAGATCATTTCTCAGCTGAGGTGAGTCTCCGTATTAGCGTACCGTCTGAAGCCGCCACTGCGGTGAAGTCTTTCCGTAGTTCAGATATTTCTCAAGTGAGTGGGGGTGAGGGAGGCGGGGCGGGGCGGGGCGCTGCCCCAGAGCCTCGAGCTGCCAGTCAGTCAAGCAGTCCAGCAGGAGTGCCAGATACGGTAAGGTGGAGTGAGTGTCCGAGTGCCACGGACTCTCTCAGCGAGGTTAGTAGCCTCGACGCCAGCCTCACGCCCATATCGGAGAGTGCCACACGCCCATCGCTCACTGAGCCCGCCACAGCACGCCCACGTCGCCAACACGTGCTTCAGACCCGCATGGGTCGCACCCGCTCCTGCGGCGACCTGCGGCGGTACAGTGAATCCGAGAGTGAGGAGGAGGCCGCAGACATGTCCGGGTTGCCGCAGTCAGTCGCAAGACTGCCGCAAGACGCAGGCACTCGTCCTTTCAAGTCCACCTTTGCCACGTACATAGAGCAACAGCACCGCCAAGGTGAGTGGCACGGGGCCACCCGTAGCGGGGGGCGGCGCCCACGACCGCCCCCCGCGCACCCGCTCTCCGGCTCCGACGCCAGCGATGAAGAGGTCAGGTCACATTACGCAGGTCACAGGGGTCACTGCAGGCCGCGCAGGCACAGAAGCTTCCACGAGGCACCCCCAGCCTGCAGACACGAACCACAGGCACTGCGGCAGGTGAGGGGTGGCACCTGGGCGGTGCCGCCCCCGCCCCCGCCCGCACCCCTGCCAGGCAGGCGCCGCCCTCAACCCATCAGTGTTGACCTGGCTGAAGAATTTCTTAGTCAGGAAAGCTTTAAGCTTCCTAACGGTAAACAGAGTGCTGGGAAAGCTTTAGGCGAGAGGATCTGCAGTGTTGAGCGTGGGGCCCCTGAACAGCATCCTGGTGCTGGTACTGGGCCCTCCCAGGGACCTAGGCCCCCACCACCCAGCCAACAGCCAGGTGATGGAGGCACCGCTATTGGGGTGTGTGGGGGAGGGGCTCTGCCGGACCCCGCGGGGTCACGGAGTGAGGTGCGGCCGCCACCCCCTGTACTGACGCCGGAGCTGACGGTGCAGCGTGCCCCGCCGCCCCTGGCCCCGCCGCCCAGCCAACCCCCGGACCACCACCCTCACCAATATAGCTCCACGCTCGCCCAGTTGTCCAATGAGTGCCACCCTGTACACACCGGGCACAGCAGCAGCGGCCCCACCCATGACCCGCCCGCCGCCACCCACGACCCGCCTGCTGCCGCCCACGCTCTCACCCCAGCCGGAAGTGACCCCAGCCGACAGTGCCTACCTGCTGACACATCAGTAAGTCCTGAGATGGCGGAGGGAAGAGTTCGTGTCAGAACTAAGACATATGGCACTCACGGGGAAGTGGAAGTGTACTTAGCTAGGGCGGACAGTGGCATCACCCCGCCCCACCCTTCGCCCGTCCTCACGCCCACGGGCGGGGCGGACCACAGGCCAGGTTCCAGGGGCGTCACCTTCTCGCCCTCCGTGAAGGAAGTGAATTGGCGCGAGAGTTACTACGATGTAGATCCCGACGAGGACACTGCTGACGCAGTTGACGTCAGAAAGGTGGTGGTGGTGACTGCAGAGTCTCCCAGGCCTCAGCGAGTCACCGTGGGCACCCCACCACCGGCCCTTGTGCCCGTAAATAGCACAGCTGTGCCCGAAAACACTGCCGGGAACCGTGCTTCCTCTCCCGGGCACACTGTATCTGCCCTTCCCGAACATATCTCTCCTGCACCCAACCATGCTACCGAACCCAAACACACCTCTGCCGAACCCAAACATATCATTACCGTGCCCGGACACATCCCGACCGTGTCATCCAATAATGTATACAACCGTCCTGACAAGGCTAACGGCATAGCATCAGAGCAGCCGGTGTTATCTTCCTCTTCAGATGCGGAACTCAATGGAGAGAAGTCTCCGAAGGTGTCAACACCGATCTGGCAGAGATTCAAGCTACCAAAGATCCCATCACCGAAGGCCCAGCGGCCGAAGCTCCCGCCGAAGCCGCAGTCGCTCTCCTCTCGCTCCTCCGACACGGAGAGTTCGAAGCCTTCCAGCCCTGCCCCAGACAGCGGCTCTTCGACTCCCTCGTCCCCCGACAATAGACAGAAGAAGGCCCCATCCAGCCCCAGGTTCTTCACGTGGGGGAACAAGCGTGACAAGACAAGGAACCTTCCCCGTCCCCTGGTGTCACCTCCTCCCCCACCTGCTCAAGGAAGCACCAGGCAGGTGAGGCAGGAGCTGGAGGTTGAGGTTAAAGGTGAACCGGAATCGTCAGTGAGTGTCGGGGCATTGTCCCACGAGGACGGTGTGGGTAGCTGCAAGAGTGCAAGTGGCGACTGTTTAGTGAAAAGAGTGGTGCCTCGGGAAAGTGTGAGTGCAGTGAAAGGTTTAGATAGGGGCGGGAACTATACACATAGTGCCACGATAGGCCTTAACGAAGGTGTGGACTTGACATGCAGTGCCGCGAGAGGTGTAAATAAAAGTGTAGACTCTGCAGACAGTGCTACGAGAGGCCTCAACCAAGGTGTGGATTCTACATACAGTGCCACGAGAGGTGTAAACAAAAGTGTGGACTCTGCAGACAGTGCTACGAGAGGTGTGGACGCAGAGTTGTGCTCTGCAGATAGTGATGCGAGTCTTGAGTCTAACAGAAGTCCAGCACCGTCGGTGACATCAGGCGATGACAGTTTCTGACATTGGACAGCTGCACAGTCCTCGTTCAGCTGTGTCGAAGCCACCTCTACCACCGCAGCTGCAGCAGCGACCCTCCCAGCAGGTGTTCCACAAGGCGCGGCTCCTCAGCGCTCGTCGCCAGTACTTCAGCCAGGAGCGACAGGTGTCCGCCCCTGAGAGGTCCTCCCCACCTAAAGACTTGAACGACTCCCCCGCCCCCGTCGCCCAGCCGCCACCGCCGCCCCTCTCCGCCTCCAGGTACAATTCCGCTTTCGACGCCTCCAAGAGCCTGAAAGAAAGATTTGAAAAGTTCTCGGCAAGCGCTCGAGCAGAACGCGAGCGTCTAGCTAAGAGCACCCCTGACCTAAGTGTGATAGAGGCGAGTGTGCGCCGGCCTGGCCCTCGTATTGATTCTTGCAACCAGCGTGAGCAGCAGCAGCAGCAGCAGCCTGACTCCGGTAGTGCAGCCTGGGCCAGTGATGGTGACACAGCTGAACCCGCCCACGCCCACCACGGGGTCTCTAACGCCCACAACAAGGCCAGGGCGGCTATCCACGAGCGGTACAAGACCCGGGCGCAGCGCATCTACGCCCGTTCGCGCACCCAGAGCGTTGGCGTGCTAGAGACTGACCTGGACACAGGAGCGTCACGAGAGGTGCTGACGCTGCAGGAGACTAACTTGGACGACCTGTACCGTGACCTGCAGCAGTTGCTGGACACCCTCCCCGCCCTGGGCGCGCCCCAGGGGCACTCAGACAAGGCCAGAGCCAAGTCCTTGCTGGACCTGGAGGGTACTAGTGCCACCATGGATGACCAGTTGACCGCCCCGCCACGACCACCTGACACCAGAGCCAAGAGTATGGAATTTCTGCTAGATGACAACAACAAAGCTTCTGTAGAGGTAAGTGCCACTCACCTGTGCTCACCTGATCTAGGTGCCACTCACCTGTGTTCACCTGATCTAGGTGCCACTCACCTGTGTTCACCTGATCTAGGTGCCACTCACCTGTGTTCACCTGATCTAGGTGCCACTCACCTGTGTTCACCTGTTCTAGGTGCCACTTGCTTGTGTTCACCTGTTCTAGGTGCCACTCACCTGTGTTCACCTGTTCTAGGTGTCACTTGTGTTCACCTGTTCTAGGTGCCACTCACCTGTGTTCACCTGTTCTAGGTGCCACTCACCTGTGTTCACCTGTTCTAGGTGCCACTCGCCTGTTTGTCACACCTGTTTCCCCAGTAGTACCACTCGCCTGTGTTCACCTGATCTAGGTGCCACTCGCCTGTGTTCACCTGTTCTAGGTGCCACTTGTCTGTGTTCACCTGTTCTAGGTGCCACTCGCCTGTGTTCACCTGTTCTAGGTGCCACTCGCCTGTGTTCACCTGTTCTAGGTGCCACTCGCCTGTGTTCACCTGTTCTAGGTGCCACTCGCCTGTGTTCACCTGTTCAAGGTATCACTCGCCTGTGTTCACCTGATCTAGGTGCCACTCGCCTGTGTTCACCTATTCTAGGTGCCACTCGCCTGTGTTCACCTATTCTAGGTGCCACTCGCCTGTGTTCACCTATTCTAGGTGCCACTCGCCTGTGTTCACCTATTCTAGGTGCCACTCGCCTGTGTTCACCTGTTCAAGGTACCACTCGCCTGTGTTCGCCTGATCTAGGTGCCACTCGCCTGTGTTCACCTGTTCAAGGTGTCACTCGCCTGTGTTCACCTGTTCAAGGTGTCACTCGCCTGTGTTCACCTGTTCTAGGTGCCACTCGTCTGTGTTCACCTGTTTTAGGTGCCACTCGCCTATGTTCACCTGTTCAAGGTACCACTCGCCTGTGTTCACCTGATCTAGGTACCACTCGCCTGTGTTCACCTGTTCTAGGTGCCACTCGCCTGTGTTCACCTGTTCTAGGTGCCACTCACCTGTGTTCTCCTGTAGGTGTCGCCTTCACTATGTTCACCTGCTGTAGGTGTCGCCTTCACTATGTTCACCTGCTGTAGGTGTCGCCTTCACTATGTTCACCTGCTGTAGGTGTCGCCTTCACTATGTTCACCTGCTGTAGGTGTCGCCTTCACTATGTTCACCTACTGGGATCTATCAAGATGCTGGGATGTAAGATTAGGATCCTCGGAATGTGTAGGGAGATCAGATCTTCAGGTCAAAGGGAGGTAGGGACACATACAGTGAGGTAGGGACACATACAGTGAGGTAGGGACACAAATAGTGAGGTAGGGACACACACAGTGAGGTAGAGAGACACACAGTGAGGTAGGGACACAAATAGTGAGGTAGGGACACAGTGAGGTAGGGACACACAGTGAGGTAGGGACACAGTGAGGTAGGGACACAGTGAGGTAGGGACATAGTGAGGCAGGGACACAGTGAGGAAGGGACACACAGTGAGGTAGGGACACAGTGAGGTAGGGACACAGTGAGGTAGGGACACAGTGAGGTAGGGACACAGTGAGGCAGGGACACAGTGAGGTAGGGACACAGACAGGGAGACAGGAAGGTAACTGGGGAAAAAAGTTCAGTAGGGAGACAAATTTGATGGTTAACGAGGACAAGTTCAGTTGTTCTGCTGTGGAAACTGAGGAAATAGACTAGTACAGCACAAACTCAAATTATTCAATATTGACAGTCTCGTGTGGGAGACCTGGGAGTAATAATGTCGGAAGATCTCACTTTCAAGGACCAAAACAATGTTGCCATTGCTACTACAAGGAAAATGATAGGCTGGATAACTAGATTTTTCTGGACGAGATGCTAAGCCAGTGATGACACTCTTCAAGTCGTGTGTTCTCGCCAGGTAAGAATACTGTTATATACTGACGGCCATCTTCAAGGCAGGCGAGATTACTGAGCTGGAAAACGTACAGAGAACTTTCACTGCTCGTATACACTCAAGCATCTGAACTTCTGAGAGTACCTGAAGTCCATTTAGCTGTATTCCTTCGAATGTAGGCGAGAAAGGTACATAATATACATCTGGGAAATCTTGGAGGGACAGGTTTCAAACCTGAACACTGAAATCACTCTGACAAGAGATTTTGCAGACGGTGTAGAGTACTTCCAGTTACAAGCAGCGGCGGGACGAGTGCACCAAGTTCAGTGTCTGATGTTCACAACGTTTCCACGTCCTCCCTCTTTGCATAAGGGGAATTACCAACACGTCTCTGTCTTCAAGAGACAGCTGGACAAGTTCCTGATCAGCCAGGCTGTGGTTCGTACGTTGGGGTGCGCGCGGCCAGCAGTAAGTCACCAGGAGGCCTGGTCTGGGACCGGGCCGCGGGGGCCTGGTCCTGTTTTCCTGAATCCCACTGTTCCCCTCACCTCTCTGCTTTTTCCTCTCTTCCATTTTTTCCCCTCCTCCCACTTCTTCCTCCTCCCTCTTCTTCCCCCTCCCTCTTCTTCCTCTTCCCTCTTCTTCCTCCCTCTTCTTCCTCCTCTTCTTCCTCTGATAGACATGAACCTTGTTCTTCTATATCCTCTTGCATCTTCTCCCTCAGCTCCCCTCCCTCAACTCCCCTCTCTCTCCCCTCCCCTCTCTCCCCCCTCCCCTCACTTTCCACATACCGACAAAAAAATTATTAAAAATTACATTCTCCACATTACGTACGTTTTTGCACGTTTAGAAATTATTTTTTTTAATGTTTTAATATGTTTCGTTTATGTGAGTTGGAGATGGTGGTAGTGAATTGTGGTAGTGAATTGTGGTAGTGAATTGTGGTTACCAGAGGAAGTGTGGTTGGAATTGTGGTTGGTTGTAAGTTGGATTGTGATTGCGAGTAGAATTGTGGTTGTAAGTTGGATTGTGGTTGCGAGTAGAATTGTGGTTGTAAGTTAGATTGTGGTTGCGAGTAGAATTGTGGTTGTAAGTGGATTGTGGTTGCGAGTAGAATTGTGGTTGTAAGTTTAGATTGTGGTTGCGAGTAGAATGGTGGTTGTAAGTTAGATTGTGGTTGCGAGTAGAATTGTGGTTGTAAGTTAGATTGTGGTTGCGAGTAGAATTGTGGTTGTAAGTTAGATTGTGGTTGCGAGTAGAATTGTGGTTGTAAGTTAGATTGTGGTTGCGAGTAGAATTGTCGTTGGTTGTAAGTTGGATTGTGGTTGCGAGTAGAATTGTGGTTGTAAGTTAGATTTGGTTGCGAGTAGAATGTGTGGTTGTAAGTTGATTGTGGTTGGCGAGTAGAATTGTGGTTGTAAGTTAGATTGTGGTTGCGAGTAGAATTGTGGTTGTAAGTTAGATTGTGGTTGCGAGTAGAATTGTGGTTGTAAGTTAGATTGTGGTTGCGAGTAGAATTGTGGTTGTAAGTTAGATTGTGGTTGCGAGTAGAATTGTGGTTGTAAGTTAGATTGTGGTTGCGAGTAGAATTGTGGTTGTAAGTTAGATTGTGGTTGCGAGTAGAATTGTGGTTGTAAGTTAGATTGTGTTGCGAGTAGAATTGTGGTTGTAAGTTAGATTGTGGTTGCGAGTAGAATATGTCGTTGGTTGTAAGTTGGATTGTGGTTGCGAGTAGAATTGTGGTTGTAAGTTAGATTGTGGTTGCGAGTAGAATTGTGGTTGATTGTAAGTTGGATTGTGGTTGCAAGTAGAATTGTGGTTGCGAGTAGAATTGTGGTTGTAAGTTAGATTGTGGTTGCGAGTAGAATTTCGTGGTTGTAGTTGATTGTGGTTGCGAGTAGAATTGTCGTTGGTTGATAAGTTGGATTCGATGTGTTGCGAGTAGAATTGTGGTTGTAAGTTAGATTGTGGTTGCGGATAGAATTGTTGGTTGTAATTGTGGTGCGGTTAGAATTGGTTGAAATTGGATTGCTGATAGAATTGTGGTTGGTTGTAAGTTGGATTGTGGTTGCGAGTAGAATTGTGGTTGTAAGTTAGATTGTGGTTGCGAGTAGAATTGTCGTTGGTTGTAAGTTGGATTGTGGTTGCGAGTAGAATTGTGGCTGGTTGTAAGTTGGATTGTGGTTGGCTGTAAGTTATTGTGGTTGCGAGTAGAATTGTGGTTGGTTGCCAATGGAATTGTAGTGGTTGATAATTGAATTGTGGTTGGTTGCAAGTGGAATTGTGGTTAGGGGAGTGTATTCGGAGGGGGGGGGGTCAACGCCCCTGCGACCCGGTCCCAGACCAGGCCTCCCGGTGGGTGACCTGATCAACCAGACTGTTGGTGCTGGTCGCCCGCAGCCGGTCTCGTATCACCTCTCCAAAAACTGAGAAAAGTTTTTAACGAATAACAAATATTTCAGAAATATGGGAAATAAAACCAGTAGTCCTGCCAGAGTGCAAAACTTTTACCAGGCTTCCGTGTTATATTTCTTTTGGTAGACAATGGTAGATTTTTGTGACCCGGTGTTAAAAATGGATTATGGATCAGACGATTTGATCAGGATTTAAATGGAAAAGTGGATGACCGGGTGGATAGGAATAGAGATGACTGGATAGGTTAATGAATGTGTTCTTTGTGAGGATAGAACCATGTGGTTGCTTCTAATATCTCTTCCCCCACCCCCCTCCCTCCTCTCCCTTCCCTCTCTTCTCTCCCTTCCCTCTCTTCTCTCCCTTCCCTCTTTTCTCTCCTTCCCTCTTCTCTCCCTTCCTCCTTTTCCTTTCCCTCTCTTCTCTCGCTTCCCTCTCTTCTCTCGCTTCCCTCTCTTCTCTCCCTTCCCTCTCTTCTCTCCCATCCCTCTCTTCTCCTCCCTCATCCTCTTCTCTCCCATCCCTCTCTTCTCTCCCATCCCTCTCTTCTCTCCCTCCTCACTCCCAGTCTCTCTTCTCATATTTTAAATCCTGTCAGTGATTTGGTAGTAAATAAGGTGATCACCCAGGCTGTTGGTGGCACAACCACCTCCCTTCTGTACTCCCTACACGCCGCTCCCTACCCTCTCCACACGATCTCTACCCCCATCTAAACGTTCTCTTCCCTCCCTATCCTCCCTAAACCCATCTTCCCCTCCCTATGCGTGGCCATTTAAGAGAAACTTGATCCTCCTTGTAATTTGCCAGACATTCCTAGTCTATTTCGAGAAGCAGGCGACTATTGATAGCTGGTTAGCTGAGTTCATAGGTAGCTGATTATCTGTACAGATAGCTTGCCTGTTGACCTGGAGATGGGTTTGCAGGTCACCGCCCCCGCGACCCGGACAGAGACCAGGCTTCCCTGTTGCTGGTTTGATCGACCAGGTTGCTGATGCTGGCTGCACAGTAGCCAGCATCAGCAGTATGCAGCACAGCCCGGCTGATCAGAAACTGACTCGAGGAATTTAGCAAGTTCCCATATGATGACACTTGAAATCATGTGCGAGACCTGGGAGTGATGATGTCGGAAGATCTCACATTTGAGGATCATAACAATTCCGCCATTACTACAATAAGGAAAATGATAGGCTGGATAATTAGAACTTGCAAGACTAGATGCTGAGCCAATGATACTCTTCAGGTCCCTTGTTCTCTCCAGACTGGAATATTCCTATATACCGACAGCGTCCTTCAAGGCAGGCCAGATTACTGAGCTGGAAAACGTACAGAGAACTTTCACTGCTTCTGTACACTGAGTCGAACATCTAAACTACTGGGAACACTAAAAGCTCATTCAACTGCATTTTTTTGGAACGTAGGCGAGAAATAGGCAAAATAATCTACACCTGGTCAATCCTGGAGGAACTTCTGCCAAACCTGAGCACTGAAATCTCTCCGTATGTCAACAAGAGACTTGGTAGACGGTGCAAAATACCTCCAGTAAACACCAGGGGCGCGACGAATAAACTAAGAACTTGAGTGTTAAGAGATCCCAGAGGTTTATTCCAACAAACTTCTGGTTGTCTCCAAGAGGGAACTAGACAAGTTTCTCATATCAGTTCCTAACCAGCCGGTCTGTGGTTTATGCATTGGACAATGTTCGGCCAGCAGTAACAGCCGGGTTGATCTAGTCTTGATGCACCAGGCGGCCTGGTCTGCGACCGGGCCGCGAGGGAGTTAACCCCCATCTCATTGTTGTC